TTAGGGTTCAGGGTTGAGGGTCCAGGGTTTCGGGTTTAGGGTCCCGGGTTTAGGATTTAGGTCTGAAGGTTTTTGCTCTTGTAGTCACGACTTTCGGATTTGAGATTTGAAGGCTTGATGATGTCGGGTTTCGGCCAGTCTTGCCGAAGCTTTGAGCATCACGGATCCCTTCATAAGCCACGGCTCAGGTTCGGAGCTGCGACACCACACCCTTACAACACTCTATGAAATTCTCACAACCCCCTGGACTAGATACGGCACGACAAACCCTACACATAAAAGTCTTTTTTGGACCCTCATGATGCCCCTGCAAAACCCTACCAACCCCAACAAAAGCCCAATAAAGATGGGCCTTGAAGTACGGATCGTCTCCGGCCGGCGTCGTCTGAAGTTGGAAGGGCCAGGTGTGTTGGTGGAAGCCTCGGGCGCGCGTCGGCGAGGAAGGAGTTGATGGTCGGCTTGGCTTAGAGGGCCTAGGGCCCAAAGACTATACTCTAAAACGCCCCAATTCCTATGCTCTAAAAAGCTCCAAAGCCTATACTCTAAAAAGCCCCAAAAGCCTATACTCTAAATGTCCCAAAGCCTATATACTCTAAACCCCCACACCACTAAACCTCAAGCCCTGAGCCGGAACAACCGGAACTTTCAAAAGTGGATCCGGGCCGCTGTGCCTGTCAATGCCCGAGAGCTCCCTCTGAACGACGGCATCCCGGGGCCACTGATGCAGATACTTCGTGCCTTTTAGGGCTTTTGGCTAGGGCTTAGGGGTTACAAGAATTTGAGGTGTGAGCTTCGCGATTCTCAAAATTACGGGACATCTAGCAAGAAGAACACCTACACCTAAACTCTGTGTTTTATGTTTCATAGGTGCAGCCTCGGAAGAGCAAATCATCGATCCACCTCATGTGAAGCATCGTCTTGCCTCAGTACGCACTCAGGACATTGACTTAACCTGCTCTTTGTTGGGAGCTTTGCAAGTTACCCTACAAGTGTGTGTACATATATATGTGTGTATATATATATATATGTGTATATATATATATGCATATATATATATGTATATATATATATACCTACACATATACATATATATATATATGCATATATGTATATGTATGTGTATATACATACATACATACATACATACATACATACATACATACATGCATACATACATACACATCTATGTGAGTATGTACTGACCCATACATCTCGATTGGTTTCTTCATCCCCTTAAGAGTCGCCCAGTGGCAGGCGCAGTCGGCGCTTTCATCGCGCAGGTCCCGGAGATATCCGGGCCTTCCCTGGGGACGCCAGGGCTCCAGCTCCCGTTTTGGGGCGCTCTGGGAGCCCTGAAGGGACCGGATGGAGAAGAGGGGCCCCACGTAGGATTTCCTGGTTTGTTTGTTGAGGAAGTTAGGTTACCAAAATGGGGATCTATAATAAACAGTAAGGCTTCCTTATTGTGGCAACTTAAAGAAGATTTTTCTTAACTAAACCCTAAACCGGAACCCTAAGTCCTAAACCCCTAAAAAGAACCCAGTTTCGGCCAAACACCAGGCCAGTCGTGGGAGTTCACGGTGTGCTCCAAGCCGTCCTTGCTGCCGGGGCAGCGCGCGACGACGTCGGCGCGCCCTCCGGGGGGCAGGGAGACGTGCGAGATCCAGCGCGGGAAGTCCTCGATGTAGATGCCATCTTTCGCGAGCAGCGCAACCTGGGGGCTCTTGAAACTAGAACTTCGTTCTTGCCAAGAGCTTCTTGGTTCTTGTACATACGCTCGTATCATGGGGGATTTATATTGAGACCCTGTCTTTGGGGGGATGACAAGGATCCTAGGCCGTTGTGACTTGATCTTGAAGCCCTTAAACTCTATCTAAAATTCCCCTAAACCCTAAACCCTGTACCCTAAACCCTATTCCCTAAACCCTAAACCCTAAACCCTATACCCTAAACCTATTCCCTAAACCCTAAACCCTATTCCCACCTGGCACTGCCCGAACTCCAGCCAGAGCCACCTTGATACACCGGCCATGACCAGGCGCAGGCGACGCCACTCCGCCGAGGACACCGTGAGAACAGGCTGCACGGCACCTGGGTTAGGGCCTTTGGGCTTAAGGCCTCAACAAGTTAGGGCTTAGGGTGTGGGGTTTAGGGTTTTTCAAAAAATGACGGTAGCTTTGTTGTTGCTTCCAAGCTTTGAACATGATTTCGACACAAAAAAACAAAGGTTCGCTGCGGGACCTGCCCGAATGCTCACCCTGAACACCTGAAGCCTCAACCCCTGAAAAGTTCTAAAAGTAGCTCCTCCGCACCTAACTTGCAGAGGCCCCAAAAGACACTTAGTCATAGAACCCGTCTGCTCTTAGCTTCCTGGGCATCCTTGATCTCTGAAACCCGCAAAACTTCGCCCTCAGCCCGTGAACCCTAAACATCATTGAAGATATTTTCTGATAGAACCTCTAAAGAGCCCACAGACACAATGCATCCTTTTGCGGAAACCTTTGTTGAAGCCCATAATTAGCTAAACCCCTCTTGTAGAACTCCAACACTTCAGCTCAATATCATAGAGAGCCCTTCCTGAAAGAAACCGAATGTGCCCGGCTTCTCGTGCACTTTCGGAAAATGCGCCCCC